ATCACCACCATAACATCTTAAAATGTGTACAATTTTCAAATTTATTAAGAATTTAGTTACATTTACATATATCCTGTTTTTAAAATATAAACAGCAACAGCTTCCGAGCGTGTCACACTGATAAGCTTTTGAGAACCATTTTGACGTGTCACAGGTAGCAAATAAATAATAGCACTTAGGGAGAGCACAGTGATGGACAGAGCAGGTAGAGCCTGGTGCAGGGACAAGCCCTATAGGGACATGTGCAAAGGTGCTGGTGGTCTCTATAGTAGATGCAGTCCCGCTCACCAAGGTAGCCCCCACACCCCTGGCTGCAGCTTTAAGGGTAGGACTTGGGCACAGCAGGAACAGGGTGGGGACTGGACCCTAAGGAACTGCTTCAGACGGTGTGTGCATTTCCTAAAGGGACTGCATTCTGTAATGACAAGCAATTCAACAAAGGTGCTCCTGGCTACCTGTCACTCTTTGGCAGTAGGTCAGCCGCCCCAAATGCTGGCACACACACAGACCTCAATGTGATAGGGACAGGCCTCTGAGTGACAGCAAAGCTATCAGAACTGTAGCACTAACTGGACATGCCTAGATTTTTTAAAATGTTAATTGTTAATTACAGGTATACAGGCCAGACTTACAGCTTACCGCCCAAGGCTGGGCCCAGTCAGTCATTTTCCTACACAACAGTGAGCTGCAACAAGCCCTGGAATCATGCTTCACCAAGTAGTTATGAGGCAGAGAAGGAAATTAGCTCCCAGATGCTAAAATTTCTACTTACTGCTATAACTAAGCTTTAAGGTATTTGAGTTAAACTGAAGAAAAACTCCAGCCCCCATCATATCATTAAGTCCAGCTGGTGGCCTGGTCGGGGCTTCTCAGGACTGGATGTTGGTTGAATTGAGGATTCGAGAAGTAGCATCAGATTTGGAAGCCTTTGAAAGTTCTCGCTGTTAAAAATAAACAACATTAGTGGCAGCACTACCCCTATCATGGATGCCCCTCCTCTCTAGGCACGGTTTAGTGTCAGCAGGAAGTCCTGAGGACAGTTTCTGTGAAACAGGCCCCAGCACAGCAGTTTGCGTTAGAAGGTGAGGAACTCTGAGCACCATGCTGTTAGTCACACATGGCCCTGATCCCTTTCCTCAGCCAGCCCCGCCTGCCTTACCCAAGATACACCCCTTCCGCTTCACAAAGCTACTCCTAAGAGCTGTAAGCTCGGTGAGCAACAAGCTTTGGTTTCTTGAGCCCTTTACAGAAGAGTGGGCTGCCCAATTTATCTACCAATCCCTGGGGCTGAGGGCCTTGTAACCTGCTGGTGATCTGATCTCGTGCTGGAGCACATGGTGTAAAAGCAGAAGACCGAGTGTGAATGACCACTGAGAAAAGCGTTAGTGGAGGTGAGCGTTAGTGGCTTTAGTGCTGCTGGTGGAGTTTATCAGCCATAGCAACCAGAAGAAGCCCTTAGGAGGTACATGTATGTCCCAAATAGATGAAATGGGCTTTTGCTGAGTAAGCACACAACAGAAAACTGGGCCCCTGAGTGAGACACAAGCTCTTTTACAGGTGTATAATTTGGGAAAAGTGCCCAGTATAAAGCTAGTTGCCATGCTCCACACTACCCCATGACAACATGGGAGGAAGCCTAGGTTTTAACTCAGTATCCTTTCAAGGGACAGTCATGGCCTTACCTCTCACTGGTAGGACATTGAGGGAAGCGAACACAGCTTTTTAGTAAAAGGCATGACAGGTGGGTGTTAGAAGATGCAGAACAGAATACCATGAGGTGCAGACCAGGGCTGGAAAATTTCTTTCCAGTGCTTCAGACATGCTTAGCAACTCAGGATGCAGACACAGGCAAAGGTGAGGAAATAAGCAGTGACCAGAGGTAGACAGGAAGTTAGTGATCAGCCCAAAGAGGTTAGTAAGGCATATACTCCAGGACACAATCAGCAAACAGGCCAAGAACCTCACTGCAAGCAGCACACAGCTGGGGCTCCCCTCCCCACATCAAGGGGCCTCTAGTCCAGCATACTCTAGGTCTTGGATGTCATAATTGAGGAGGGTTTTCTTCTGTGAAACAGATATAAAAAAACAACTTTCCCTGACTTTAGGTGGGGCTGAGAATCCAAGTCTGAACAAGTTTTCTTATTAATCACGGGTTACTCATTTGCAACATAAGAAACTTGTTTTTGAAGTCCATAACTGCAATCTCTGACTTTTTGTAAGAAAGATTCTGTGACAATACAGCTGGGATGATTAGTTAGTGTAGCCCTGTGCCCAGATGGGAATGAAGCCAACAGACAACAGATCAGGTTGGAAAAGGGGGTCATGGGACATGCAGGGGTCACCATACAGACCTGAAGCCCAACAGTGGAGCTGTCAGAGAGGAATGGATCCTTCTGAGAACAAAGAATTAAGACAGTTACCAAGAACTCCACCAAGAGAGCACCAGGGTAGTGAATAGCAGATCACCTCTTGTAGCCAGGGAATGGTTTTATCTTAAACTGAAGGATCCAGGTTAAATATTCAATGCTGCTGTCAACTTCAATCCCATATACCCCCTTAAGCCAGCCATATCCAAACACTGTGGTCAAGGCAGGAAAGGGATTCTCAGCCTGTGAGGTAACTGACCTGACAACTCTGGGTGCCCTAGGGGAGACTCCCACCCTGCCCCAACTGTGTGCTCCCCAGAGACTGGTAGATATTAGGAAAGGTGAATTACCGCAAACTCAGAATAGGTGCTGGCAACAGAATTAATGCTGAAGTTGCGCTGGAGAGGGGCTGAGCCAGGGTACCCACCGCTCAGGAAGCTTCCACTAAGCTCTATGTTCTCCTTGTTGGCCCCAAGTCTGTTGGCACGGGGAGTTTTCTTTCCTGAACAGGTAGAAGTGACTGGCTGCAGAAAGGAAAAATAGATCCTTGTATCTTCATGATAAATGCATGCATACACACAAAACTCCAGTGATCAAGGTGTGTGTGTTTGTATCCATAATTAAACTCATGACTTTGCACTTGCCAGGCATTGTATGCTGCTGAGCTATATCCCCACCCTGATCAAGGTGTTTTTGTATGACTTTTTTTTTCTGTTCTGGAGAATGAATCCAAGGCCTTCATGTAGTCACTCCCCACCACCTTTTTCTGAGATCCTCCTGCCTCAGCATCTCAGAATGCTAGGATCATAGGCATGTGTCACCACAGCCAGATATAATACCACATTATATAATGTATATGTCTGTAACAGTGGACTTTTAGTTTAGAAAAGTACATGAATTCTTCATGACCTATAACCACTATCCGTGGTCTAATTGCCAAGGCTGTTTCTTTTCTAGCAGTCTACATCTCCTTTTGATACCTAACTAGATCTAGTGAGCCCGTGTCACTGGGCTGGAACCTACATCCAGGGGCACCTAGCTTAGTACCACCTGATCCTCACTATCCCTTACATAGTCGACTAAGGCCCAGTGCTCCTGTGGTATGAGTGAAGAGTCTCAATGACTTTTTTTTTTTTTTTAAATCTCTTTGGTTTCTAATGATTATCTGGTTTATATCTATCAACTTAGCATCTCAATGAAAACTTGGAATCCAGAAATCTTGGAAGCCAGACAAAATAGGTGGAGCCTCTGGATAAACAGAGCGTCCCTAGTACCACAAAAGTAAAACAAAAACAGAGCGTGTGTGCATCTATGCAGATGCATGTATACAGTGCACTAACCTTGCTGCCAGAAGGAGGAAGTCGAGACATGGGGGAGTGGTACACTGTCCCCCCAAAGGCAGGACGAATGCTGCTATTGGCTGCAGCATTGGACACGATGGTAGTGTTTAGCTGAGGAGAACAGATATGTTACTGATGTGAGGTAACACACTGAGCCTTGCCAGCAACCCATCTCCCCCGAAAGAGACATGAGTACAGGAAACAGTCCAGGAAAGATGAGTCGGCTTGCTAAAGAGCCTGCAGGTCTGATACTGCACAGCTTTGAGGAATCTCACAAAATGTTCAAAGCCTATTTAAACCCAACAAACATCAGACATCCATCATATGACTCTAACATTCTACCAACAGAAATGCCAGCAGATATCCAGACTTAGGAGTATGGAAGTTTAACTGTAATAGCCAAGGCTAGAAACAATTAATAGTCAGCAGGTGAGTAGCAAATAGGTTATGATGTATTTATAGAATGGAATACTGATCCACAATAAAAAAGAATGAATTGCTGGTACAAAAAAAGGGGGGCGGCGGGGAGATAGCTCAGTAGAATAAGTCCTTGCCTGGCAAGCACAAGGTCCTGAGTTCAATCCCCGGTTCCACAAAAAAAAAAAAAAAAAAAAAAAAATTACTGGTACATAATCTGAACCTCAAAAAAAAAAAAAAAAAATACTGAATGAAAGAAGAGTATAATTTTATCTACAGAAAATGCCAAGTAATTTGTGGTGACATGAAATCTCTGCCACCAGAGGCTAAGGGAAGAGGAAACTTTGGGGGTCATGGACATGTCCACTACAGTATCATGGAGATGGTTTCATGATGTACACATACCAAAACTTAATCCCAGCATGCCAGGTGGGCAAAACTTAGATCTCAAAGTTTCATGTGCTGGCAGGGGCCAGAGCCTGATAACACTAAGGCAGTGCCAGCCAAGTACTGTCAGCCACTGTTATGAGAAGCTGAATAGTGCAGCCAAGACTTGATGTCCTGCTCTAGAGATTAAGGAGTATTTATTATTTCTTTTAAAAATTTCCATTTATGGGCTGGTGAGATGGCTCAGTGGTCTAAAGCACCTACTTAGAACAAGCTTAGCAAAGCACAGGGACTGCGCTTCAATCCCCCAGCGCCACATGCCAGCCAGCCCCGCCCCCTGGTGGGCTGAGCTGGCCACACACACACACAAAAATAAATAAAATAAAAAATTTCCATTTATTAGGGCCAGTGAGATAAGTGGACTAAGTGCCTTAGGCAAGCACAGGGACTGGGGTTTGATCCCCGGCACCACATGCCATGCCAGTTCTGCCCTCTCGGCATGCTGAGCCAGTGACCAAAACTGGGCGTGATGGCACACACCTATAATCCCAGCATTGGGAAGGCTGAGGACAGGAGGATCACTATGAGTCCGAGCTGTGTAGTGACAACCTGTACCAAATATATTTAAAAAAAAAAAAAAAAATCCGTTAAGTATGAATGTTGTCCTTTGCCTAGTACCATGGTAACCTATTGTAACTGCAGGGTGATGAACCTGTGAAGAGTTCATCACACAGAATATCAGCAGTTAGTGGTCCTAGGAGTTTAGTCCAAGGACTGAACAACGTACACAACAAAGTGGGCCCCTCAACCACCACTGTGAGTCACTGCTCAGGGCTGGACTCCAGTGCTCCACTCAGACGAACCCAGCCTGGGAGAGACGAAACTTCATTTCTGCTTCAGCAGGCCACAGGGCAGGAGTGGGCATAGTGCCCTGGCCTCCCCTCCCTCACAAGCAGCACCACACAAAGGTTGTGTTTACCTTGCGCACTTTGCCGGGTGTGCTGGGAGCCAGAATTTGCCGCTTGCTGGGTGTTCGGGGAGCACTGCCATACAGTACCTCTGTCTCTGTCTGCTTCTTATTCTTCAATTGCTGGGTAAAAGTCAGAATCAGCAGTGATGAGTCCCGGCAGAATAAGTCCAGGATGGGAACAGGAGCAGAGCTGACACCCTGGGCCAAACCCTGCAGCCTGAGCTAACAGGAGCTGCGAGAGGCTGCTTTGTCTTAATCCGTCTTGACCCTGACAGAGACGCAGTGCTGCTCAAACTCTCCAGTTTTCATGCACACTTACCCTTTCCTGCTTGGCTCGCTCCTTCTCCAGTCTATGGTTCTCCCACTGTTCTATCACATACTCCATGAATTTCTGCCCATTCACCAGAAATGCAGTTGATTGCTCCTGCTCCCACATTTCAATCCGTGTCTTCAACTCCTCTTCCAGCTGAGGCCAGAAACAATGACATAGTCATTCTTCAAGTCTCTGGTGTGAGGCCCAAAGGAAACGATCATCCTAGAGGGAGTCAACTAAGGCACCTACAATCCCAGTACAAGAGGCTGAGGCAGGAGGACTGAGGTTTAGCCAACCTGGGCTACATATACAATTTCAGAAGAAAACACTAGAAAGCGATTCTTCCCTTCCCAAAGCATTGCTACCCTAACTTCAGGTAGTTGGAAAACATGGCTACAGGTCAGAATGATCAGAAGTCAAAGCCTAAGGATGGTTTACTTACAATCCACACAAAGGTGGAAAAAAATAAAGTTGGGGTCCTGAGGTTTTGATACCTAAAACTGGAAGAAACAGTGGCAAGATCACTAATATTAACTTACATACCTGTTAATTAAGTTGCTTACATAGAAGGCCCAAAGCATCGTTAATATCTTTGGAAGAAAAGAGCTTGGGGGCAAAGTAATGTGAAGCAAAGGACATATAGAAATTGAGACATACCAGGTATGGTGGTACATGCTATAATCTCAGAACTCTGAGAGGCTGAAGAAGGAAGAATCCAGGTTTGAGCCCAACCCCATGACTTAATGAGACCCTGTCTCATGCCCATGGTAAAGGTCGTGGGTTCCATCTCTGGGACCACAGAAAATAAAGATATCTTGGAGGTAGGCATCAAAAATTCTTTTGGGGGGGGCTGGCTCAATGCCTTCAGGGCAGGTTTGGCTGGCTGGAGTTGTGGGGATCGAACCACAGCAACCTGAGGCTGACTGCTTTGTTGAAGCAGCCACTTAAACAACTGAGCTAAGGGGCAGGCCCCAAAAATTCTTAATAATATTACCTTAGGGAGTGTTTTCTGGAGTTTTGCTCGTTGCTTTTCTTCTTTGAGGAGATTTCCTCCCCGGTTTGTAAATCGACTTGGATCTGAAGCTTTTCTCTGAAAAATAAATTTAATTTTATTTCTGAGTAGGACAATCAGACTAATTACTTCTGCTAAGATTGATCATTCTCATAATATGTATTAAAATGACTACAAGTTTTGCACTGCCAGCCCCAGAGGCTGAGACAAGAGGATCATTATGAGTCCGGGCTACACAGTGAGACCCTGTACCAAATAAATAAACTGCCCACTTAAAAAAAATAAACTAGGGCCGGGGAGATGGCTCAGTGGAATAAGCACTTCCCTGGCAAGCACAAAGGCCTGAGTTCAATCCCTGGTTCTGCCAAAATAAATAAATAAATAATAAACTAAACAATCATTAAATCTTCTGGAAGACAGAAGAAGTAAAAGTCTTGAAGACTTTGGTGTAAGCAAAAACTTTCTGAACAAAACTCCGATTGCACAGGAACTCACAATTAATTAACAACTGGGATCTCATCTGGGGAGATAGCTCCATGGTCTAAGCACCTGCCTGACAATGGCGAGCACAAGGACCTGGGGTTCAATTACCAGCACTGCATGCCGTGCCAGCCACTGAAACTGGGGATGATGGCGCAAGCCTGTAATCCCAGCACTGGGAAGGCTGAGACAGGAGGATAACTACAAGTCTGAGCTGCTAACAAGATCCTGTATCAAATAAATGACTAAGAATTTTATTTATTTCTTTTTTGGTGGAACTGGGGATTGAACTCAGGTCCTTGCACTTGCCAGGCAAGCACTTATTCTCCTGAGCCATCTCTCCAGCCCTATGACTAAGAATTTTAAAAAGCTTTTACACAGCAAGAAAAATCAACAGAGTGAAGAGACAACCCATAATGTGGGAAAAAATGTTTGCCACTTGTTCCTCAAAGGACTACTATCTGGAACTTACAGAATACTCAAAAAATAGAACCCCCCAATTTTTTTT